AGAGTAACACCCTTGCTTTTTAGTTCTCTAAGGAGGTTGTGTACAGCTGATTTACCTAATGTGGATCGTCTTATGATACCTTGAGCATTGATTGTGGCTCAAGCAAGACAAAATCCTCCACAAATTCAATCTTTTTCCCATTTATGATGATGTTACCTATTGGTCCAGTTGTGAGGATTTACGGTTTTGTTTATACTGAGTTATAATCCATACTGAAGGCTACAATCTTTTATCTTTATCAGCAAGTGCTTCAAGTCCTTCTCACTCTCAGCATGCAAGGTTGTATCATCTACACATCTCAGCTTATTAATAAGCCTTCCTGCAATCCTGGTGCCAGGTTTTTCTTCATATACTCCAGTTTCTCAGCATACAGATTGAATAAGTATGGTGAGAGGATATAATACCGTCACACACCTTTTTTATTTTAAACCACGCAGTAGTCCTTTGTTCTGCTTGCACAATTGCCCCTCGATCTATGTGTAAGTTCTTCATGAGCACACAGAGTGTTCTGGAATTCCCATTCTTCTGGTCATGCATAGTGCACTATGATCCACACAGTTGAATGCCTTGGCAAGCCCAAGACAACACAAGTAAGCATCTTTCTGGTATTCTGTGCTTTCAGCCAAGATCCACCTGACATCAGCAATGGTCTCCCTGGTTCTCTGTCCTCTTGTGAATCTAGCCTGAACCTCTGGAAGCTCCCTTTCGTTGTACCATACTGCGGTAATTGTTGTTGGATGATCTTCAGCAAAATTGTATTGACATATGATGATATCAGTGATATTATTTTACAGTTTGAACATTCTGTAGGGCTACCTGTCTTTGGAGTGGGTACAGAATAAATCTCGTACAGTCAGTTGGCTAAGTCGTCGTCATGCTCTGAAGGCTTATGTGTGGCTGTGATGCTGGCAGCTGTGTCACTGGCATTTCAAGTGTCAGCAGGGTCGCCCACAGGGAACAGGCTTCAGCGGAGCTTCCAGACTAAGAACAGACAACAAAGCACGACTGGGTTTCCCACTTCGGAGGAAAAAGACATCTAGTCTTGTTATGCATATAACAAGACTAGAACATTTTAATAAAGGAATTTGAACACTGACAGATCCAATTTGAGTTTCAGAACATGCGAATCTCTGTTGATCATCCCAAATTCATTGGTAGTCAGTTGATTATGACTCATAATGACCCTATAGGTCAGAGTGGACCCTATAGGTCCTGTGAGGTTTTGAAGCGCTAAGTCTTTATGAGAGCAGAAAGTCTCATCTTTCTCTAGCGGAGCAGCTGGTGGGCTCAAATGGCTGACTTTGTGGTTTAGAGTCAAACACAAAACCCACTATGCCTTCAGGGCTTCTTATCTGTTGTATTTCTAAACTCTTTCTAAGATAACAAAGTGGATCTGCCTGCTATTCAGTTCCTAATAAAGGTGAAGGAATACTTGGGGAAAATTCCAAGTTCAGGCAGTTTGCACTGTTCAAATATATCTTTAAATCCAAGGGCCCATGTGAAGTCTAACCTGACCTAAATATTTAGCAGAACACAAATTACCTTAAATAAAGCCAGGGCGCACTCAGACTACCTAACCCTACAATAAAATATCCTGATTTGTTTATGGGTGAACAGAGTGATATATAGCACATGCTCTATATCTCAAAAACTATAGATGATAAAGGAAAACTGGTGCCATTTTTAAAATTAGAAGATCAAATTTACCCAGAAAGAAGTCTAACACTTGAAGCCCTAAAATGTGTATTGGCCAGTGTAATCAGAGAAGTTGGTTTATATGAAGAGTGTTGTATCGGGATTGAAGGAAATCTTATTAACAACCTGTAGTTAGGTTGTTACAGGTTACACAACCTTGCTTGCTGAAAACGAAGAAGACTTGAAAGACTTGCTGATGAAGAGCAAGGATTGCAGCCTTCAGTATGAATTACACTCAATGTAAGAAAACCAAACTCCTCATAACTGGACCAGTATGTTAGCTCAAGATAAACAGAGAAAAGCTTGAAGGTGTCTAAGATTCATTTTGCTTGGATCCACAATCTATACCCATTGAAGAGATCAAAGGATGCATTACATTGTGTAAATCTGCTGCGCAAGACATCTTTAAAGTATTGAGAAGCAAGGATGTTACTTTGAGGTGTAAGGTGTTTCCTGACCCAAGCCGTGGTATTTTCATTCACCTGATATACTTATGACAGTGAATAAGGAAGACTAAAGAAGAATCCATGTATTTTAATTGTGTTGCTTGTGACGAGTGTTGAAAAGACCATGAACTGCCAAAGGAACAAGCAGAACCGTCTTGGAAGTGCAATGAGAATGCGCCTAGTAAGCAAGGACAGCGAGCCTTTGTCTCACACTTTGGATGGGAGCGACCAGACCCTAGAAAATGACATCATGCTTGGTAAAGCAGAGGGACGTGAAAAAGAGGAGGACCCTTGACAAGATGGATCGGTACAGTTACTGCAACAGTGGCTTCATTGATGTGAGGAGGGTGCAGGACTAAGTACTGCTTCATTCTGTTGTAACAACACCATGGACTGCTAGACGAGCAGAAGGCTCGTGTTGGGTGCTAACTGGACCTATAGCTACTTGCAGAAGAAATGTGTGACCGTCTGATTCCTTAAAGATTTACAGCCTTAAAAAGCCTGTGGGGAAATTCTGTTCTGTCATACAGTGTCACTATGAATTGGAATGGACCCCATAGCAATGGGCTTGGAAGTTTTTTCAGGCCAGAACAACAAGCAAATCTGTTCTGAAGGGAATGCCAGAATGCTCATTAGAAGCGACAGTGGTGAGATTACATCCTCTGTACGTTGAATATGTTATGAAGAGGGACCAGTCCCTAGAACAGGACATCATGCGTAATACAGTAGAGGGTCAGTGAAAAGGAAGAAGAGCCCCAACAAGATGGATTGGCACAGAGGCTGCGACAATGGGCTCCAACATGACAACACTTGTGAGGATGGCACTGGACCAGGCAGTGTTTCTTTCTGTTGTATGTAGGGACACTATGACTTGGAACTAACTCAACAGCACCTAATGACAACAATGGCATTATGGATCTCAACAATCTTCATCTAGACCAGTGTGACCCAAAGTGGGTGATACTGCCCCTTGGGGGGATGCTGGAATGATCCAGAAGGGCTACGAAAACATACCTACACTTGATCCTGGATTATGGGCTATAATACAAAAGTTTTTAACTACCAGGTGAGAAGGTAGCATTGAGGTTTGTTTGTTGTTGTTGTTGTTGTTTTTCATGAAAAATGGGTAATAGGCCAACTAAGTTTAGGAACCCATGATCTAGATCAGTGGCTTTCAACGTGTGGGTCGAAACCCCTTTGGGGGTCGAACGACCCTTTCACAGAGGCAGCCCAATTCATAACAGCAGCAAAATTACAGTTATGAAGTAGCAATGAAAATAATTTTATGGTTGGGGGTCACCACAACATGAGGAACTGTATTAAAAGGTAACAGCATTAGGAAGGTTGAGAACCACTGATATAGACAATGATCATAGTTACTTAGATTATTAAGTTAAAAGCAGATGCTGACTATTATAATGGATGGGTCAAGTTGTTAACACTTGATCCTACTGGTCCTATTAATGTTAAAGTTTTCACATCATAAAAACAGGCAATCAGATGTTTTGTGCCTCATGAATATTCTTGTCAAAAATTAAACTTAAATCTATTCAAGCACTTATATTTAACTACCTATATAATGATTTTACTTTTACATGTCATAAACACATCAGAAATTATATAAAAGCAGAATTACACCTCTTCTTCATATCAGACATATCACAATTTAAGGAGTCAATTAGTGTCCTTAAAAAAATTCCCATCTTAAAGGATTAAAGATAAATAAGCACCCATCATGCTGAGAAGCAACAAAGCCCTCATGGAAGAAGCACACCAGCCTGTGTAATCTTGAGGTCTCGATGGGATCAGGTATCAGGCATCAAAAACCCAGAATAAACAATCATATCAATGCTAATGAGGGGGAGGGCGGAATGGAGAACCAAAGCCCACTTGTAGACAATTGGACATCCCCTCCCAGAAGGGTCAAAAGGAAGCGATGAGTGGGCCAGGGTGCAGTATAGCACAAATGAAATATACAACTTTCCTCTAGTTCTTTAATGCTTCCTCCCAACCCCTCAGCCCCCACTATCATGACCCCAATTCTACCTTACAAATCTAGCTAGACCAGAGTACAGGTAAGAGACCCTGTACAGACCCTGGTACAGATAAGAGCTCACAACTCAGGGAATTCAGGACACATAAACCCCTCAGGACCAATAATGAGAGTAGCCATACCAGGAGGATAAGGGGAAGGTGTGAGGAGAAAGGGGAACCGATCACAATGATCAACTTATCACACCACCACCCCCAGGGGGACAAAAAACAGAAAAGTGGATAAAGGGAGAAAGCAGTCGATGTAAGACATGAAAATAATGAAGTATAAATTTTATCAAGCGTCTATGAAAGAGGGAGGGTGGGGAAGGGAGGGAGGGAAAAAATGAGGAGCTGATACCAAGGGCTCAAGTAGAAAGGAATTATTTTGAAAATGATGATGGCAACATATGTACAAATGTACTTGACACAATGTATGTATGTATGGATTGTTGTGAGAGCTGTAAGAGCCCCCAATAAAATGATTTTTTAAAATTCCCAATTATATTGCTTTCCATGCCACGGGATTGTCAGGATATCAAATACACTAATAAATACTGTCAGGAAGAAAAAAGGCTTAGTTATTGTGTGTTAATTCTAAATATCACTGCAAAGTAAGAGCAGGGTGTGTGTCTAGTTGACATTTTATTGGTACAATTATTCAGCTGAGATAATAATACAATTTAAAAGGCCAGGGCTTTTTCCATTTTTTCTCAACTTTAAAGGATATAGAAACCATATTACTAAACTTATTTGAAGGTTTGTGAAGTTAGCATTAAATGTATCTTTTCCATTTGTTACAGTGCTACTCATGTAAAGCAATCTTACCTGAAGCTTTGTGACTGTCTTTGCTTAGTTTGTAACTCACATTGCAAGTGACTCAATTTTTCCTGCGCTTTCTTAAATTCCTCTTGCTGAATTTTTAGCTGGACATTTGCATCTTGAATTCTAAAATACACAAAAAATAATAATTAAAGAGTATGCTATATGCATGCGAACGTTGAGTAATGAATAAAGGAGACCGGAGAAGAATTGATGCACTTGAATTATGGTGCTTGGGGAGAATACTGAAAGTACCTGGACTTCCAGAACAACAACAACAACAACAACAATTGTTTTGGAGAAAGTACAGCCAGAAAACTCCTTCAACTTAAGGATGCCAGACCTCATCTCATGTACTTTAGACACATTATTAGGAGAGACCAGTCCCTGGAGAGAGACATCATGCTTGGTAAAGTAGAGGATCAGAAAACAGAGGAAGACTCTCAGTGTTCAACTTCAAATGTTTCATAACATAGTGAAAACACTCTTGCCTTTTCTAATTTAATTTTTTATTTATGTTTGTTTATTTTAAAGTCTTAAATCAAAATATCAGTGGGTTTGCCTTTTACAAATGAGCCAATAGTCTAATAAAAATTATAAGACATGTGTGTTTGAGAAAAAAAAGTAAATATCGTGTTACGAGTACTTATTTTTAACTTACAATGCAAACACACTTTTAATAAATAGAATAAGAGAATTTATAGCTATATGAATGTATAGAGAAGGCATGGAAAGACTCCACACAGCGATTATCTCTGGGAAGGAGAGAGGAATGGATGGGGTAGGGGGTGGGGGGTAGCCAGGAGCCATCAAGTCAGTGCCGATGGAGCCATTGAGTCAGTTCCGACCCGCAGCCACCCCATGTGCAATAGAACGAAACACCCCTGTGTTGCACCAGCCTCCTAAGTGTTCTGTTGCAGCCCATGGTTGCAGCTACTGTGTCGGTCCATCTCGTTAGACATCTTCCTCATTTTCACTTCCCTTCAACTTTACCAAGCCTTGTCCTTTTCGAAGCACTGATGTTGAAGGGAGGTCCAATTTTGGCTCTGTCTGCTTTTTGTATTGTTTGAATTTTCACAAGGAGCAATTGTTCTTACGTGTTTGATTCGTTTAAATGCAACTAAACAGATATTAATTTTTAAATTATAACAATAAATGGACATCATTTAAAATGTCAAATACTATTAAAAGAGTTATAAGAAAAATGTTAGTCACTTGCTTTTGCCCTAAATCTCACTGCCAGTATCAACTACTTTGAATCATTTTTACTCTTGCTACCTCTAATAGTTATCTCCACTCTACTATTTCTTGACATTTCATTGTAGATTTTATCTGGTGAATTCCAGAGCAGTTATGATCTGGTACTGCTACATATAACTTAGGCCTGATTGTGATGGCTTCAAGGTAAAAGGATACATTCTCACACACAAAACAAGTATATTGGTGGCCCGTCCAATGTGGAGATGATGGTCTTACAATACGATCGGGACTCCAGGATCTTCCAGCTCTTTGGTGTACCCTTTTGGGTATGTCTCCTTTGTTCTCACGGTCCATGGTTTCAGGGGAAGTCCCATCATTATGTCCCCATTCTAGACCACTAAAGGTGGAGAATAACTCCCTCCCATGAAGGAGGCTTCCGGGAAGTACCACTGATTACTTCTGTTGAACTTAAACACGTGGCCACACCTAGCTGCAAGGGAAGTTGAAGAATACAGTTCTCTAACCAGGAATATTAACTCTGGCTTTATTTGTAGTTGTTACTAAGGAAGACAGGAGAATGGATACTGGAATTTACTCTTCTACACACACACACACACACACACACACACACACACACACACTTCTCTCCCCTGGTGGGCCACATATTGTGCCATAATTACATCCTTTTTTGGACATTTTTTGGTTATACCTAGAATAAAATAACTGTCTCCTTTCACTTTTCCTTGGTTTCCTGTGTACTGGCCATGGATTCTCCTTCTGATTCTGAGATAAATAGAATTCTTCTGTCAATATCTTCAGATATAGCAGATAATCTTTTCATCTCATTTCTTTTGGGGAGCTATCCTTTCTTGAACTTTCCAGTCCCCAATTCTAGTCTGCTCGTCCTCTGGTTTCGCTGCGCAGCTATCGGCATCCTAGGTCTCTCCTCCACTATCCTTTCTGAAGGTCTTGACAGTTGCTCTCTTATGTCACATCTCCCATATTGTTTCTGAAACCTTTGTCTTTCTTGGTTTCTTTTTCTTCTTTCCCAAAGTGTAAGTTTTTTACATACAATGGAGTACTACGCATCACTAAAAAGCAGTGATGAACGTATGAAGCACAT